AGTTCACGAGCTCACAGGAGTTGACGTCGCCATTGGCGTAGCATCTCACCAGCTTCAGCTGCAGATTTGGCTGCTGTTGTTTGGGTCAAGTTGTTGAGGATGGTGCTTTTCTCGTTGAGACCACCAGGTTGATACAGCTTCAAGATGCGAAACACCAGCTGCACGCATGTCATCTCTCGCAAAGAGATTGCTTCTTGTTTGACCGTCTGTGGCACTGCAGCTAACAACATTGACAGCACGCGAGACTCCAACCTGACATACTTGTTCTCCACTTGAAGGTCAGGTTGCACAGCCATGCGATCCATCGGACCCGCTGTCAGCCATGTAGCATAGGCATCTTGAGCTCGTTGTACCAGTCCAGTCCACCACACTCTTGCGCCTTCTGAGACATCTGAGATCAGCGGCATCAACTCACTTAACCAATCTCCTGCACGAAGGGCAGCCTGAGGCTCTGACACGTCCTTCAAAATTGGCAGTGTAATCGGCACATTTCTCAGCACCTCAGAAGCTTCGCCATCAGGACCTTTTGCTTGTGGTTGAGGTTGTTGCCATTGCAGTGGCATTGAACCATATTGCATTGGTGCTGCAAACATTGGTACACCATAAGGTCCAACTCCATGTCCTTGAGGCGGTTGTGGTGGTGGTTGCGGAACATAACCAAAATCCGCTGGTGGACCACCATGTCTGTGCACCGGTTGCTCCCAGTACTCACCTGTCAACCTTGGTCTTTCTCCATGCATCATCCTGACCTCTCTGTCCAACCATGCAAAACGATCTGCTCCAGGTTGAAGATGATGCTGCTGTTGTGGTTGTTGATCCACTGGAGTCCAAAAATCCTCCAAACCATCAAAACCTGTTCCACCACCCACGTGCTCATCAACTGCAAATGGGTCAAACTGCCATGGTGGAAGTTCTGGAAGATCTGCTACCTCCCGTGGTGGTTGTCCCGGTGGAACTTGAGTTCCTCCAGGTGTTGTTCTTGGTGACAGTGAGTAGTACTGAGGTCGGCGCGGTGGTGTCCTTGGTGGTTCCACGCTTGAACTCTTCTTCTTGAGCTCCTTCTGCAACTCCTCATTCTTCTTTTCAAACTCATCACGCTGGCGTTGCAAGTCCTCAGCATACTTCTTCATCTCTTCCTTTTGTTTCTCCATCTCAAGCTTCTGTCTGTGAAGCTCTTCAACCATTGATTGCTCCAAAGCCCGCTTGAGCTCATCACGCTCATCTCTTCCTTGTTGATTGACATCGTCCACAAAGGTAGTTGTGCTACAACCTTGTACTCCACCTTGTGGTTGCCGACTTGCCTCACGTGGCATCTGTCGTCTCATCTCATACTGTTGCACTCCCATTGGAACTCTTTCCAAGGGTGATCCATCATCTTGCCGATGACCTCGTCTTTGAGATTGATCTCGCAGACCACTTGGTACTGTTCGATGACCTTGAACTTGACGTCGTTCAGGTCCATAACCATGACTGACTCCTCGGTGGCGTCCAGTCTCTTGCACATTTCCTTCAGACCTTGAGGGTCCATGACGGCTGACTCCTCGATGGTGTCCCGCCTCTTGCACATTAACTTCAGACCTTGAGGGTCCACGGCTGACTCCTCGATGGTGTCCAGCCTCTTGCATGATATCAGACCTTTGAACTGGCATCTCACCTCCCAGTCCTCCAGTCTTTCCACCTTGTCTTGCAACCCCATGAGATGGTATCTCACCTCCCATCCCATTGGGCTGCACAACTCTTCCTTGACCATGCTCCTTGCCAGAACGTTGCACTTCTCCAGCAAGTAGCCCTGCTGCGACACCTCGATGGTGCCCAACTTGTTCAACACCTTGAGGGTGTTCATCTGCTCGACACCTTGAGGGTGTGCCCATCGACACCTTGAGGGTGCCACTCTAACACCTTGAGGGTGTCCACATTGTTCGACACCTTGAGGGTGTCCAGCACGTTGACCTTGTCCAGCATCTTGAGGATACCGAAGGTCCACACCTTGAGAGTGTGCAAATTGATCGACACCTTGAGGGTGTCCTGCATGTTGACCTTGTCCAACATCTTGAGGATGTCGAAGGTCCACACCTTGAGGGTGTACTTCACGGCGACCTTGTCCAACATCTTGAGGATGCCGAAGGTCTTCATCATCATTTGATGGCATAGCCCCTTGAGTCTGCAAGGCCACACCTCGTCTTGTACTCCAACTTGACGGAGCACTCATTCGTCCCATTGCTAGCGGCTCCAACTCTCGCGACGCGTCTGCATCTTCTATCTCTGGAAGGTCCTCCTTGACTGAGACCTCTTCCCTTGGCGTCCACATCGGCTGCTCCATGGCCAACTGACGTGCTTCTCGTAGGTGTTCTTGCTGAACCCCTGCTGACCACCACGGATTCGGCTCGGTGCCTAAGTCCAACAGGTCAGTGCTCACATCCAGTTCTTGCCGTAGAGCCCCTCCATGTTCGCCTCGTAGTAGAGCTCGACCTTCATCTCGTCCATCACTGCCATTTGGTAGAGCTCTTCCATCTCCATGCCGAAGGTCTCTGCCGTCATGTCCAGCTCGTTCACCTCCATGCCCTGGTTGGCCTTCTTGATCCAGCCGTAGACCTCGAGGTCCACCTCTACCAGTTGGCACCGAACTCGCTCTAGACCACGACATGGCAAACGCCCCTTCAGCTGAGCGTTGGGCTCATAACCTGTGCAAGGCAGAGCAGCGCGCCTTTTGATCCTAAAAGAGCCTAGCAGTCAAGCTAGTTGAGTTGTGGTGCACACTGATAAGAACAGATACTTCACCTGTCCAACATGTCACAGTCATGTACATGAACCCTTTTGCACCTTGGTTTTCACTGTATTTTTCTAGCATGTTACATGCCTCCTAGCATGTTCACGCGTGTCCTCCATGTTGTACTGTTTTCTACATCGTTTCCTCTAGTTGTTACAAGCATTTCCTAGTTTGTACACCGTTTTCCTAATATTGTCACAACTTTTCTTCCAGTTTCTACCGTTTCCTGTGGTTACTTTCTTCTCTTTTGTAGGTTTTCACTGTGTTTTGTCCAGCTTTTTTTATTACATGCTTCCTACCATTTGCACCGCTTTCCTCTATGGCTTTTTGTACCATTTCCTCTCGTTTCCTGCATTTCATGCATTTTCAATATTAATATTAATCCAAGAGTTTTACCCGTCTCCTTCAATTTCCAATCGTTTTTGCACCATTTCCTCTGGTTGTTATCGCATTTTCCTGCACTTTCACTGTATTTTTCCAGCATGTTTACTGCATCGTCGTTTGTTCCTAGCAGTCGCTCCGGTTTCCTCCATGTTCCAACAGATTTTGCACCCTTTATTCTGGTTGTTATCACATTTTCCTGCCAGGTTGTTATCACAGTTTCCTTCACTGTATCTTTCCAGCATTTTCCAGTGGATTTTGCACGATTTCCTCTGATTGTTACCATGTTTTCCTGCAGTTTCTATATCTTCTTCGTGGGTTTTCAGTCTATTCGTGCATGTTTAATCTATTTTTCCAAGATTATTACCCGTCTCCTTTTTGCACCATTTCCTCTAGTTTGCTGCATTTTCAATGTATTTTTCCAAGATTTTTACCCGTCTCCTTCATTTTCCGATCGTTTTTGCACCATTTCCTCTGGTTGTTATCGCATTTTCCTGCACTTTCACTGTCTTTTTCCAGCATGTTTACTGCATCGTCATAGTTTGTTCCTAGCAGTCGCTCCGGTTTCCTCCATGTTCCAACAGATTTTGCATGGTTTGTTCCTAGCATTTTCCTCTGATCGTTATCATGCTTTCCTCAAGTTTCATTGTATTTTCCAATACATCCTCTTCGTGGGGTTTCAATATGTTTTGTCCAGCATTTTTTTACTACATGTTTCCTATCATTTTCACCTCTTTCCTCCATAGGTGTTTGCACCATTTCCTCTGGTTTCCTGCATTTTCATACCTTTTCAATATTAATATTAATCCAAGAGTTTTACCTGTCTCCTTCATTTTCCGATCCTTTTTGCACCATTTCCTCTCGTTGTTATCACATTTTCCTGCACTTTCACTGTATTTTTCCAGCATGTTTACTGCATCGTCATGGTTTGCGCCTAGCATTCGCTCCGGTTTCCTCCATTTTCCAAGGGATTTTCCATGGTTTGTTCCTCGCATTCGCTCCGTTTTCGTCCGTTTTCCAAGGGATTTTGTACGATTTCCTCTGATCGTTATCATGTTTTCCTGCAGTTTCATTGTATTTTCCAATACATCCTCATGGTCTCTCCGGCCACCAAAAAGGCGGACCTAGGGGGAATCGATACCCCACCGTCAGCAAATTACCTAGTGGTACATAATCCAGCAAAATGCTCCGTTTTCTGGCGCTCAACACAGGGGCACGGCGAGATTTCGTTCCCTTTCGGCAACCACCCCCCCCACACCCCCTATTCTCACTTCGTTCGCAAACAGCAACTAGCCAGCTAGCTGGCTTTCGTAAAAAAGCAGAGAAGCAAAAAAGCAGAGAAGCAAAGAAACAGGAAACGCACAAAAGCAAAACAGCAGAAAGGCAAAGAAGCAGGAAAAGCAGAAAAGCAGAGAAGCAGGAAAAGCAGAGAAGCAAAGAAACAGGAAAAACAGAAAAGCAGAGAAGCAGGAGAAGCAGAAAAGCAAAAAAGCAGAAAAGGCGAGAAGCAGGAGAAGCAGAAAAGCAAAAAAGCAGAAAAGCAGAGAAGCAGGAAAGCAGGAAAAGCAGGAAAAGCAGGAAAAGCAGAGAAGCAGGAAAAGCAGGAAAAGCAGAGAAGCAGGAATCCAAAAATAATTCCTAAACCTGATCAAAAAAAAAATCCTAAAATAATTAGCCCTCCATATAATTTGCCAAGATTTAGGCTTAGGTGTGCTCGAAAAAGTGGATACTCAAGCCACGGTTTCCCTTTGCATTCCCTTTCCTGATCTAGACCATGGGTGGGGGTACTTGGAGTCCCCCGATTTCTAGAAAGTCCCATTTAGAAGACAAGATTTTGCAGCCAGATTCCTGCCTGACAATTGGGAACTTCAGGCCCTTGTCGTGCATCTCCTGCGGAACTGACAATTTAACTGAAACAGAAAACCCCAAACAAGAACTATCCAGGTTGAAAAGAATCACTGCGCTTCGGGAAATGCTGCAAACGTGCACCTTAAACACGGGACCCGATGGAACAGGTACGGTAAGGTGGAGCCAAAACCACAAAAAAAAACGCAGAGCAAACCACTGGACAAGGTGAAATCGGTTCCGTGACGCACAGCAGAGATATCCCCCGACCCCAGCCATCAACAGGGGGAGAGCGTCAGAGCAAAGGCAAACAGTGCATGGGCAGGCTGCTAATACATATATATGTTTATATATATATATGTATGTATGGATGTATATGTAAAAAGATAGAGAAAGAGAGAGATGTGTATAAAGTATAAAGAAATATGTATATAAATATACATATAATATGTGAATATATAATATTATATATACATATATGATATATCTGCTAACGTACATGTGTATATATATATACATCTATTACATTATTACGTATATATATATATGTAGTATGTACATACATTATTATACATAAATATAATATATATATATATTACAATATAAGCAAGGTAGTCCCTTTCAAATTCTGAAATCTCCGGGCCCTTCTCTCCAGGACGTGCTCACGTCGGCACTTCTCATCCGGCACGGTGGTGGCCTCATCAAATCTCCGTGATTTAAGCAGCAATTGTCATGGGAAATCATCTATATATGGGGATATCATTAATATCATGGAATTTCATGGGGGATAAATCACCAGCATGAACCAATCATCTGATATTTCTTTACAGTACTTAAATGGGATATTCATTCATGGTATATGAATAGGCTATGATTAATTGGGATAGGTTATGTTGAAAAGGGGAGACTTAACCAACAAATATGGAGATATCTTAGGGATATATAACCAATTATATTATTTGATTTTTGATATTGTCCAATGGGGTAGCCCCCAAAGTCTTGATGATGGTATGCCCCATTTTCAGACACCATTTCAAAGAATGTCAATGGTCGAAACTGAACACAAAACGCAACATTCAAATCACCGAAATCCATCTTTTCTTGGAAGTCACTAAACAGAAAAACAACCAAAAAACCACAGTAATCATCAATCCCAGGATCATCCTCCAATCATTTCATGCCGGAGCCGTCTTGGGCACCCTCACGTGGATAATCTGGATGGAGCCCGGGTCCGCACGGTGGCGGCCGGCCATCTCCTGGTACCTGGAGCCATCGGGGATGGATTTGATGATGGGATGACTACCATATTATATATATATATGTATATGGGTATGGGTCAATACCTATTAATACCATGTTTAGTGGGATGAACATCCATTTACCAGCTATTTTGATGTTCACCAGGGGTACAAGGTTTTGACACACTGCCATATTGATGAATATTGATAAATACTGATGAATATTGGACAGCTGATGATTTTTTCGGAGTATGCAATGGTGGTCAATAGATTGGTTTAAGGGAAACTCTGCAGGGAACCCATGGGTCTTTACCCCTAAAACACGTCTGGCAAGGGATTTTTCCCATTCAGAAACCATACTTGAGTCACAGTAACGGTTGTCTCAAAATATTGCAAGCCAAAAAAAAATATGGGTTTATCTTAAGTTTACCCATGGAAATTGCCTTTTCTCTTGGGGTATCACGTGGATATCGCCCATTTTGAGACAAACAACTGGGCGCAATTTTCTGAACCTTCTGGAAGGCGCACAGCTGGCCCACAGCACCGTTGATGTTCACGTTGCGGAACTCCTGTTTTGCAACTGGCTCCGACACCAATTGGTTCATTGGAACTTCCATGATTGATATCCTAATACAATAATTGATCATTGGTAATGTCAACCCCGGATGAGACTAAACCATGGTTTATTAATTAGGGGGGTACTCCTCCAATAGTCATAATTCAATACTTAAATGGTACCACCCCAATTAACCAGCCGTTTGGGGTTTATTAATCCGGGGTTGACATTATTATTAATCCTGGTTAATATAACCCCCTAATACAATAATGGTTCATTAACCAATTGGGATTTCCATGATCGTTAATCTAACCCCCCATTATGATATTGAACCAATTATGAGAATCCCAATGATTAATCCCGAGAATTGATGATAATCCCCAAGTTTCGATAGTACCCCCGAACCAATCATCAACCAACAAGGGGCGGTAGAACACTGCGCACTCAAAATCGCCCAAATACAACTCAAAAATCAACCACATCGATGCCTTGAGAAGTTGAATGCGCACTTTGGGACTAAAATCTGATAATTTATTAATCTGAAACAATAATTGCTGATGGGATTAGTTCTTCTGGATCCCACAGTGATGTGAAAAGCAGAATAGAAGACCATCAAATGCGGTTGTTGGTAATGATTCCTGCCTTGTACATGTTGTGGGTGTTGGTTCGGCTGTCATAGCGGAGCCAAATGCCGTAGTTCTTCACCTGCACAGCCACAGCAGACAAGTTCCTTTCGCCTAAATCTTCACCCTTCGGCCTTGGTTGGGGAGGTGTCAAAGAGTTCGTTCACGGACAACAACTCACCGCCGCTCTTCTTTGCCTGGCTACACTGGGGCCATCCTCCAAAGTCACCCACTTGGGGCACCAAATTTTTATCCAAGGCAAACAATCTGGGAATCTTGGTACTGGTAGATGATTAGGGTTTGCTTATTTTGGGAAACCGTGGGAAACATCCAGATGCTCCTGCGCAGGAATGAAGAGAGGGTATAGGGTCCAGCTTGTTCAACTGCAGCTTCCCCGGCTCCTGCGCAACTGCACCCTGCCTTGTTCAACCTCTTCATGAAGTACCAAAAGCGAGACTTGGCCAGGACCACGTTGCGAGCAAAGATCCTTGATGTGCTGGGAAGGTCAATGAGGCAAAACAAACATGTTCAATCAGTTCAGTCATTTTCATCTGCTCAGTTGGACTTTCCACATCCAAAATGGAACTGTATTCCGTCATGTAGCACAACCCGCTGGCTGCGCTCCTCATGCGATAGATCTTCGGGGTCGGGTTCTTGTTGGTGGGTGCAGCTCGGCCCACAATCTGGTACTGGTGCATCTTGGCCTTGCAGCACAAAACATAGCCACGCAGCCAGAGCCACATTCCCCCAGGCCTCCAAGGAGGGATCAACGGAGAAGTTTCCCTTCACCATGACCTAGCAGAGATGGATGGTACTGATAACATTTCCTCACTCCCTTGGCCAACATTCGAAATTGTTCTTTGGTGGATGTTGCCCAGTCTTCACTTCCATGTCTCCTCCGTGACTAGAAACGGACAACAGCCTCCGAAAAGAAGCAGATTCAGGTACGGTCAAAGTTACTAGGAACTCCCGCAACATGCGACACTTCACCCACTGTCGACCTATGAAATATACCCGTCTGGACCCACCCAGCGCACTTGAGATGATAAGCTCTTAAAGCTATCTGTTGAAGCTACGTGGATCGCGCGGGATGCCCTTGGAGCCCAACACAGCGGGTGCACTTCACAAGATGAGGCAGCTGCAGGATGAGATCTGTGGAACTTCTGGTGCCAGAAGGGGTAGAATTATAGAAATGTGTTGGCATTATCTACAATTAAGGGTGTGTGTTCTTGCTGAGTAAACTGGTAAATGTCCCCGAATGGGGAGGTGTCACATCCCCATTCGATGGTCTAGTTCTGTGAGGGAACTATCCGGGTTTTTGGTTGTCCCCAGTTTTGGGAACATACATACAGCCGTCTGTGGTATTTTTTTCTGAGGCACCTGAGAATGGCCAGCACTGACTAATCAACTGATTAAAACTTTGCACAAAGCATATCGAATGTTTTTTTCCACCTGGCATTGGCAAGTCACTGGGAACAGAGTGGCCTTAGGTCCCAAGTCAGTTCAATGCAGCTGTTCAGGTAGTGGCCAAGTAAGCAAATCAATTGCTGGGCGATATGATTCTGCCTCAAGAACTTTGCCGAAACTCCAAATTTGAATCAAGGCAGATTTCAGGGGAAGTTTACACTTTCCTTGGGCCACGGTTCCTCGGCTTCCGACCAGCTGTCACACCAGATTGTCCAGCAGGATCTCTTCCTTCAAACTGTCAGGGTACTGGATTTCATCATGTTGGCTCCAAGTTATGGGTCAAAATCCGTGTTTAAATTCAATCACCTCATCCCATATAGTATCATATAATATGGATGAAATAATCATATTATATAATATTATATACATATTATGGGGATGTCCCAAAATGGTGATACACCAAAAAATAGTTGGTTTATAGTGGAACATCCCAAAATACCATGGATATCAATGGATGGTTTGGGGGTAACCCCATGACTTAGGAAACCCGCTCGACCTGCTTCTCCATGCCGGGCAAATCGCAGGAGGGCGGCCCACACCTTGGTGAAATAAGGGGCAAGGCCACCAGTCTCAAACCTCTGATGATTGGGGTTTTTATAGGTATAACATGGTATAACCATGGTGAAATAACCCCCATAAGTTGGGATACTGTTGATATCACCCCTATTATCCACTATTATTATCCACTTATCACTTACCAGCATCAACACTGCACCAACACCCAAGTACTGTCACACTGAGATCAGTGAGCAAGCTTGAACAGCCCAAGCAGCACATCGTCCCCCAGGCTGTCTTTGCAGCAGCTGGACTCCTGTGCACAATGGCAACCTTTACTTTTGAAGATGCTGACATGCACCAAGCCGTCCATTTCCAGCTTGATGGCACGCGCCCATGGAGTCCCGCAATTGCTGTCCATATCCCTCAAATTACCCGGAAAACTGGTTCTGAAGATGACTTTCCATGCGTTTCGGTTCAATGAATGGGGCGTTTCTACCTGCACCACGTCCTGTGTACAGCAGGTTTTTCCACAGCACACGGCTTTCCCGACACAGCAGCTGCCACTGCAGCAGGTGCTATCGCTGGGACATGGGCTTCGCCCGTTGATACCTGCAGGTCCAACGGCCCCTATCAACCCATCAGTCCTTCGGAAACTAATTTTTTGCAGGAATTAAAGCATCAAAAATGCAGATTCAACCCGAAATACATCGTTGGCAATGGGAATTCCCTCCCCTAAATCATCTAGAGATAAATATATAGATATGTTTAATTTTCATATATTTAGGTAGGATTTCATACCAGAGTGTACAAGAACAAGGCATGTAGCTAGTCTTTTGCACAGGAGCGGCAAAAATGTATGGGTCCGTGCCCAGCGCTTAATAGACTGTCCAGAAGGTCTGTTTCTAATCGCCAAGACAGTGAAAACTACAATATATATATATATACATATATACATATATCATATATATCATATGTATATATATATCATATATATCCTATATATCATATATATCATATATATCTCATATATATCATATATACCATATATATCATATATATATCATATATATCATATATATATATATATCATATATATAGATCATATATATCATATATATAGATCATATATATCATATATATATCATATATATCATATATATATCATATATATCATATATATATCATATATATCATATATATATCATATATATCATATATATATCATATATATCATATATATATCATATATATCATATATATCATATATATCATATATATCATATATATCATATATATCATATATATCATATATATATCATATATATCATATATATATCATATATATCATATATATCATATATATATATATCATATATATATATCATATATATATATCATATATATCATATATTTCATATATATCATATATATCATATATATCATATATCATATATATATCATATATATCATATATATCATATATATCATATATATATATCATATATATCATATATATATATCATATATATCATATATATCATATATATCATAAATATCATATATATCATATATATCATATATATCATATATATATATCATATATATATCATATATATATCATATATATCATATATATCATATATATCATATATATCATATATATATATATATCATATATATCATATATATCATATACATCATTTATATATCATATACATCATATATATCATATATATATATATCATATATTTATATATATCATATATATCATATATATCATAATATCATATCTATCATACATATCATACATATCATATATATCATACATATCATATATATCATATATATCATATATATCGTATACATCATATATATCATATATATATATATATATATATCATATATATATATACATCATATATATATATATCATATAAATCAAATAAATCATATATATCATATATATCATATATATCATATATATCATATATATCATATATATATCATATATATCATATATATCATATATATATATCATATATCATATATATATCATATATATATCATATATATATCATATAGATCATATACATATATATATATCATATATATCATATATATATATATCATATATATATATCATATATATATATATCATATATATCATATATATCTCATATATATCATATATACCATATATATCATATATATATCATATATATCATATATATCATATATATCATATAAATATCATATAATATATATATATATCATATATATATATATTTACCATTATATATATATATATATCATATATATATATATATCATTATATATATCATATATTTATATATCTCATTTATATCATATATATATCATATATACATATCATATATATATATCATATGTATCATATATATCATATAAATATGTCAATCCCTCTGATTCAACAGCATCCCTTCAACAGTAGGACTATCTCTGGTGCATCCAAGACATCCAAAGACATCCCAGTCTTCACCACCGTATACCACCGCCATCCAGGACATCCAGGACATCCAGGACATCCAGGGCATCCAGGACATCCAGGACATCCAGGACATCCTGGCCTATGCACGGTTCAAAGAGTTGCTGCTCTTTGAAGCCCGGGCAACACGGCTGCAGCTCTTCGTCCAAGGCAGGGCAGCAGGAGCCCGCCACACCTCGCAGCGCGGTTGCTTCTCAATCTGTTACCATACTGTCAAACGAAGTTCACGAAGAAACGTATACATATATATATACATATTATATATATATATACATATATATACACATATATATATATATACATATATAAATATAAATATGTTTATATTATTTATATTATATAATACTGTATTATATATATATACACATGTTACGTGATTAGACATATCAATATCAATATCCATGTCAATGCGACGATCAATAGCACTATCATTCAATGTCCCTAATTAGATTTGTTCATCTGTGTTTTCTATTCCCTGCTTTCGTGCATTTATCTTACCATCCATCTCTCATGCCCACAGAGTCCAAGCAGCTGCAGCAGGAGTGCCACTGGCCCTTGTTGTCAGGACAGCAGCCTACCAGGATGCTATAGCTGCCCAAAGTTCAAGCAGTCGCCAGCAGAACCGAAACCCGCCTTTGAGCTCGCGCACTGGCACCAAGACCGGCCTCAAGAGGGCTGAAGTTTGAAAGTGCCTAGATTTCTATGGCTAGCTCGCAACGCACCCTCAAAACCAGGGGAATTGCAACGTCGGATCTGATCTCATTCAGTTGCGATGATCATCTGCCAAGGTTCTGTCACTACCAATAGTTTGCTTCATGTACTCCACAAAAGGACAGGTCTAATTTATCTTGCAAAGCCGGGGTGATGTCCTCCGGCTGATTCTGCAAATCCAAATGTGCCTGTGTTTTTTTTATGATTCGTTATCACTTGTGGAGGTTCATGGTACTTGGAACTCCATCAAAAAGAGAAACAGATAAATATACACAAAAAAACACAAAAATATGTTCTGTTTCGTGAAAGATGAGAAACAAACACAAACCGAAGTGACTGTATATGAGAACATCTTGTCAATATCTAGCATTTTCCATCAAGATTGCAAACCCGAACGTACCCGAACCATCTCGAACTATTAAAAGCCTCCGGAGCTTTCCCCAAGGCACCCTGAGATCTCACTTCTCGCGAGGCAAAGCAGCGCCACAGATTTCCACCACATCGCAAGGGCGATGAAGCGCTCGGCTGCAGGATCTCTAGTTTGGGATGTCCAACGAAGGCTGGACGGCAATGGGTCTACAAGAGGGATTTCACCAACTACAAGCTGCATATATGATATTGGAAAAGAAGATTGGCAATAAAAATTGGAGAAACTCCCAAAAGATAGATGACATAGATGTTCAACTCTTTGAGCGGAATTTGAAGAGAGGATCTGTTTTGACTGATTTGTTTTCCATGAATATTCGTCAACACATGTCCCTACAGGATTGTGCATTCGGCTTGGCCGGAACTCGGATCATTCAAGGTGGAAACAGTACTAGTAGATGTTTCTTGCAAACTACCTGATAATGGACTGGAACAGTTCAGGTCGCTGTGCAGTTGCAAGCATATCTGCGGAACGTCAACCCAGTGTCATGGGAGAAAAAAAATGGAGGGAGAAAATAGGAATGTCCAGAAGTAGAAGGTCGAAACGAGTCTCCCAAATCCGCGAAATTTCCACACTCCCCGGGTTTGCCTGTTCCCTTTCAAAGGGATGTAGCTGTTGTTCATCACACAAGATGCCCGGCCCCTGTCTGTGCACAGCACCTTTCTGAACTTTGGCGAGCCATTTCCGGCTACTAACGCCTTGCTAGCAAATGGTTCCCTTGCACCAAATGGTCCACGGTGGTCACGGTCTTTTAGTTTGCCCAAAAGTTTGATGCTACCTAGCTCTACTGACCGACCTCGAGCTATTGGACCATCCGGGGCAACATGGGAGTCTGTCCAATCTCAGCTCTTCTTCGGATCACGTTGTGGAGGTACCAAAGGCTTTCTCAGGCGGTCCAGGGTGTTCCTGCTCCGACGGAAAACATCACAGGATCCGCCCTCAACATTACACCACCAACTGGAAACAACAAGTGTGGACCATTGAATTTCATCAATTTACACGATTTCGGAGAAGTGCGTTTGAAACTGGGGCCGCGACTCCAGCGCAGGGCGCTCCCGGTGTACCCTGGCAGCCACAGCTACAACAAAGCATTCAACGAAAAAAATGGATGGTTCAATTAAAAAATGAACCCCACCTTGGTAAATTATTTTGTCATAATTTCTGGCCTAACATCTGGAAGTATATGTGGCATATATCTTCTGACGCTCTATTCTGGTATTTTATCTGACATCCTATTCTGGCATTCTATTTGGCATCTATTCTGACATCCTATCTGGCATCCTTTCTGGCATCCATTCTGAGATTTTCTATGGTATTCTTTCTGACCTTCTATCTGGCACTCTATCTGACATTCTCTTCAGGCATTCTACCTGACATATCTTCTGACATTTTCTGCCAATTTTATCTCGCATATCTTCCGACGTTCTTTCTGGTGTTCTTTCTGGTGTTCTATCTGGCATTCATTCTGGCATTCTTTCTGGCATTCTATCTGACATTGTATTCTGGCAGTCTATCTGGCGTCTATTCTGACATTCTCTCTCGCATGTGTTGAGGTCCGGCAGTGCCCACTGAGATCTGCAGCTCGTCCGGCAGCGCCCACTGAGATCTGGAGTTCGCGGTTGAGGTCCGGCAGTGCCCACTGAGTTCTGGAGCTCGCGGTTGGGGCCCAGCAGTGCCCACTGAGATCTGGAGCTCGCAGTTGAGGAAGAAGGAGGAAGGAGCAGGAAGGAGGGAAGCAACTCTGATAAAAACTTCGGGCTAAACCTCCTTCGGATTCTTTCAGGATGGAGGCACCTTCAAAAGAATCCCTTGCTCGTACCTATCCGACCTATCCTTCCAAAGATGTATCAAACATTGGTTGCTTGGGCTTGGGCCCACCATCTCTCACACAAGCCTTTTTTGTTGGAAGATATTAGCGGCTCTGCTTCAAATGTTTTGATCATGCTCGATCCATCAAACTGGGTGGTTCAACGGTTTAGCACTTAGCACAAGGCACAAGATATCTGTAGCTGCCTGGATGTTCAGCGTTTGACCAAGTTTGACCCCATCCCCAAAACTTGGCATATTGTTAGTTGCATTGCAAATGTTGACGAACAGCATCAACATCCCAACCCGCCACTACCCCTTCCCAGGCAGCAGATCACCATAGTGAGGCCTCTTTGAGCCAGGACCGCGTCCACCAGCCTTGCCTTTGCCATTGCCCTTGGGTGCATTGGAGGCCTGCCATCATGGCAAAACGGCATGGAACTGGCGTTGCAGGAAGATATTTTCATCATCACAATCTTGAATCATCTTCAACCAGTGGCACTTCAAACAAAAAAGCGCGAACTTTGAGAGAAACCCATCCAAAGTCTTTTTGCTGTCGGGCATGGCAAGAACCTTGCGTTCACTCACGCGGGGCTGTACAGCTCAACTCAGGCCCTACGGACCTGAACGAACTCCTCCCTGTATTTGTCCTGCTATGTCATTTGGGCGCATCAAAAGACCCAAATGATGCCAGCATTGCCATCATCAGTGAGCAAATCACTTCATCGCCTTCATCGCCTTCATTGCCTTCATTGCCTTCATGGCCTTCATTGCTGGCATCTCCTCGTCATCGGCCTTCTTCATCGACTTCATGCTCTTCATGGCTTTCATTGCCTTCATTGCCTTCATTGCCTTCATCGCCTTCATGGCCTTCATGGGCGCCATTCTGTAAGCAATGATGGGGAAATCGCCAAGAGCTCGAGGAGACTTTCAGGGAGGCTTGAGCAAATGTCACGGATCAAAAAGTTTCCAAGCATCACCTGAAGCAAGATGAACAGTGTTGAGCTCATGCGTCTGGAATATCAAATCACTCAAGGTCAAAATGTTGTCAACAAGTCCTTGCATGGGAAAACACCAAATTCCAAGTTCTTCCGTGACTCGCTAATGCGGCCATCTTGTCTGACCCTACACCGATCACACTTCTCTGATCAAGTTTTTGGACGGGCAAATTCATGTTCCTGTAAAAGTTCATGGATGCTTTCCTTATAGTGACTGCAAAATTTTGCTACTGCAACAAGGCACAGTCTGGAACATTTTTGCACAAACGATAACATGTAATGATGTAACACTGTCTCTTTGCCTATCGGGTTGATTGCACATCTTGTGACACTCTCTCCATTGCAACGAGAAGCCACCTAACTGCCCACGTTCCGAACTGAAGATACTGAAGACCTGGACGTGCCATGTGAAAAACAGCAGTCACCAAATGAAACCCGACCCTTTTTTTCAGGCACAGATGGCACAGAGTCGGTCTGCGCATTTCTGTACACCTCAGGCCCTACGGACCTGAACGAACTCCTCCCTGTATTTGTACTGCTATGTCATTTGGGCGCATCAAAAGACCCAAATGATGCCAGCATTGCCATCATCAGTGAGCAAATCATTTCATGGCCTTCATCGCTTTCATGGCTTTCATTGCCTTCATGGCCTTCATCGCCTTCATGGCCTTCATCGCCTTCATGGCTTTCATTGCTGGCATCTCCTCGTCATCGGCCTTCTTCATCGACTTCATGCTTTTCATGGCTTTCATTGCCTTCATTGCCTTCATCGCCTTCATGGCCTTCATGGGCGCCATTCTGCGAGCAGAGATCGGGAAATCGCCGAAAGCTCGAGGAGACTTTCAAGGAGGCTTGAACAGCGAAATGCAGCGGCAAAAGGATGACAGCAAGTTTGCTCAACTGTTTTTTGCAGCCAAATGCTCAAGAAAAATCCTCCAGCTAGTTCTCTCACCTGCCAGTCTCCTTCGTGACCTTTACTTGCAGTGTTAGCATGTGCAAAGGAACATGCTGGCCGAGCTCAGGCGGCTCGCACCTTTTCATTGCCAACGCTTTCTTAGGTTAGACATACAGCATGGGTCTGTCCAAGACTGTTTACCCTACTGAAGTCAAATGGTTGATTTGGAGGTCACATTAACAGAACATTTTCCAACGTAATTATTTGGATAGTTGCTGAATACAATCAATCCTAGTATTCATCCAACATCACCAGGCAAATGTATATAAATGTTCCGAACCTAAGCCACCCATGGTTTCCAGGTGAAGTCTCTCTACAAAACAGCCACAATTTGGCGGCCTGCTTGTTGGTGGCTGCCGCTAAAGCGTTGGAGACAATGCGTGACTGTTGAAGCCTCAGATCATGTCATGAATCGGGGATGGAACCAACAATAACTGTATGCATATATATATGTGTGTGTGTGTAATATTAATAATTGTTGGTTAGCTATGGTTGACTCCCATTATTAATGTTATTTATTATTCTCATGATTGTAGTGTGGTATGATAGGAGTTAACCATAGCTAATGCTGATTTAATGGTGGTGTCAGAGTGATTTAACAGCGTTCAATGTGGCTTTCATGGGATATATTTAATGATATATATATATATAGAGAGAGAGAGAGAGGGCGTAAGCAACTATATGATTCATGGTAACCCAACCGTCATGAATGGGTTTCCCTCAGTTGGTCGATACTTGACAAAAGGTCATGTTTCCCTTGTGGTGGTTAATGGGATTCCTACAACGGGTTAGATGTAAAAAAAACGAACTAATGAATGAGGGATGGTTCCCATAAGTCATGGTTATGCAAAAAAAATAACAGCGATAAAAGGAATAAGAAAATAATACTAATGAAGGAAATAGAAAAAGGGAATGAGTGAAGGAATGGAATGGAATGGAACGGAACGGATTGGAATGGAATTGGAATGAAATGAAAAGAAAAGAAAAGAAAATGAAACGAAAATGAAAATGAAATAAAATGAAAATGAAAATGAAAAATGAAGCGAAATGAAATGAAATAAAAATGAAATGAAAATGAAATGAAAATGAAATGAAAATGAAATGAAAATGAAATGAAAATGACATGAAATGAAATGAAAATGAAACGAACATGAAATGAAATGAAATGAATGAAGGAACAAACGAAAGAATGAAGGAAAGAACGAACGAACGAATCAAGAAAAAAAACGAAGGAAGGAAGGAAGGAAGGAAGG